TATCAATCCAATGATTCACAATCTTTTGGTAAGAAAACATGCAAACCTGCTCTCTAACCCTCCCAGATCCTTTCCCCAAATTAAGTCTGCTATAAGCCCCAACACTAGGGCAGCCAACTCCTGAGTAGCTGGCACAAACAGAATGGCCTGATGCATCTCCTTGTTTTGTCTTGTCTTTAGATTGATTTCAGACATAGTTAATACAAATAGGTATATGGGAGCCACTGGTGAGTATTTTTGAAGGTAGAAAGAAATTCTATGAAGGGGATATGATCATATTTAATGAACCTGAACTCTTTAGTAATACGAGAAGATAAACTTACAAGAGGATGAAATGTAGTTACAGACTCCTTGGATATTGGAATTTAAATTTGTAGGTCTGAGAATTTAAAGTTTTAGGCCCTAGAAATATAAATAGTAACCAAGAACCAAGGACATGTCTTAGCAACACCAGGGAACCTTATGGGCTCAGAAGTGTGTATTGGAGCCAGCTTGCACTGGCTCAGTGCAAAAATTGTCTCATTTCTTCCTAATTCCATATTCAGTGATGTCACAATAATAGCTAGAAATAGGCCATGGTTGGAGAGGTTAAGTCACAGAAATTATCAAACACTACAGATTAGGACTTTTTTCTTCCTGATAGGCAGCTGTTGAGCATTTGCTAGACATAAACAAAGGAGTATATATTTCAGAATTTTTAATAATGTAATTAGTTGTAAGCATGATCACACACTCAAAGTCAGTGCTCTACAATGAAAAAAACAAAATCTACACATGAACAAGAATATTATATAAGGCAGACTGATTAACTGAAGATATACATCATAAACCCTAGGGCAACTATTAAAAAAATTTTTAAGAAGTATTAATAATAAGTTAATAGTGAAGATAAAATGGAATCATAAGAAAAATGTTCAGTTAACCAAAAAGAAAGCAGAAAAAGAGGATGAAAGAAATGAAGAACAGATGGAACAATAGAAAGCAAGATTGTAGAATTTAATTCAACCACATCAACATTGACAAAATGCGAATGATCTAAATGTGCCAATTAAAAACAGAGATTGCCAGACTGGAGTTTTAAAAAGTATATGCTATTTATAAGAAATCTCCTTAATATAAAAGCATAGATAGGTTTAGAAGTAAAATGATGAAAAAAGATATACCATGCAAACACCAACAAAAGAAAGCTTGGGTGGCTTTAATAATATCACACAAAGTTACTTCAGAACAAGGAATATTATCAATGTTTAAAAGAAAAATTAGATAAGAATAAATGGGTCAATTCTCCAAGAAGACCTAAGAATTCTAAATGTGTACATCCCTAATAACAAAACCTCAAAATACACAAAACAAAAACTGCTAGTGCTAAAAAGAGAAATAGATAAATCCACAATTACAGTTTAACACTTCAACATTCCTCTCTCAGTAATTGCTAGACGAAAGACAGGAAATCAGTAAAGATACAGGAGACGTGAGCAACATTATCAATGAATATGTCACTATAATATCATATTATTTACATTTATGGAACACTCCATACAACAGCTGAGTAAGCATTTCTTTCAAGTGCATGTGGAACATTCAACAAGATAGACAGTATTCTTGGCCATAAAACAAACTTTGCCCAATTTTAAAGAATAGAAATTATTAAAAGTATGTCTTTAGATCATAATAGAATTAAACTAGAAATCAATTTTTTAAAATATATCTGGAAAATTCCCAAATATTTGGAAGCTAAAGCTGCAATGAATATTCTCATATATTCATCATTGCAACTGAGTTCTATTATTTTCTTAAATACATAATCTTAAAAATATGATGACCCCTTATGATGCAAATGAATTACTATTGTCATATGCAGAGTTTTTTTTTTATTTTATAGGACTATTTTATACCACTTCTCAAAATGACTCTTGGCAGAATTACAAACCTCAATCTGAAACTGAAATTCAAGAACTTTTCCAACACTATCCCCCATATACCTATGTCCACATGACAACCTCCTAGTCATCCTTTTAGACATAGCTCAAACATCCCCGAGAAGCCTTCTTTGACAGTTGTCTATGCATGCCCACTCCTCATCATCCCCCCAAATTACACTTTCCTTCTTGCATGTTCCCATAACTCTCTTCACATACCCCTGGTGACATATCTGGTGACCTCTGCCTGGTTACCTCTACTTGTCCTTCAAACTTCAGCGGCAGGCTCCATAAAAGCATTCCATGTCCTTCTCCCCTACTTACCTTCACTGGGTTAGACAATTCTCTTACATAAGCCAAAAACACTCAATGATTAGTGTAGGGTTTCTCAAGAGCAGCACTATTGACATTTTTGACCTAATAACTCTGTTGTGCAGGGCTGTCCTGTGCATTGTAGGATGACTAGTAGTATCCTTGGCCTCTACCTACCAGGTGCCAGTAGCACACACACCCCAGAAGTGACAATCAAAGATGTCTTCAGACATTGCCAAGTGTCCTCTGCGGGGCAAAATACTCCCTTATTTGAGAACCACTGATTAAGTGCTACTAATCATACTGATTGTGATCAGTCTGTTTATCTATTTATTAGTCTATCTTAGACTATTGGCAATTCAAAGGAAGAAACTGTATATTTTATTTCTGAAGCCCAATTTCTAGTACAGAACCTGGAACCTAATAAATACTTATATTTTGCTGAAGAAAATAAATGAAATTCTATTGCTTTGGAAATTATTTTGTTTATAGATCCATATAGCACTTCTTTTCTTCTTTTCCCTTCTGGATTGGGATCTCCTTGAGGGCAAAAAACCTTATTTATTCACTTTTATGAATAAAAAGTGAATAATGCACTAAAATTGTCTGATAATTGTTTTATGATTATATCAATCAACAAAAGCCTAATCCAAGCTTTCAAGAGTCAGTGGGAGAAAGAAGAGGTGCATTTTTTAAAACGTATATATGTAAAATGAAGTAAATGGGAGCATAAAACTGTTCATAATTATAGACAGCTATCTGCAAACTCTTCATAAGTTATTTTAATCAATTTATTTCTGCTTTAATAAACTAAATATAACAGGGATGAAAATGACGGAACCAAAACTATAAATTGCTAGAAGGATAGAGAAAGACATGTTCTACCTATTTTAAAATCATTAAAATGCACATAATCAAGAGGGAAGACACTAGACGACTTATGAGCCTATAGAGTGGTCTTTTTAATAATAATCAAGGTAATCATTATTTCCAAGAAGATTATCTAGCATGTAAGATGCTAGTCATGCACAGAATTATTATTAGACAGAAAATACTTATCTTTTATGTCTTAATTTTTACCAGGAAATACACTCCATTAAAATTAATCGGTTAAAAAATACTGATCTATTACACTGAGTAACTTTTTATTATCTAGCTTGTGTTTTTCAAAAATTATTATTACATGTGTAGTGATGGATGGTAACTGGATTTATTGGGGTGATTATTTCATAATGTATAAAAATATTGAATCACTATACTGTACACCTGAAACTAATATAACATTGTATGTTAAGTATAACTTAGTTAAAAATTATTATTAGAAAAGCAGCACATGTGCATTGTAGAAAATTAGAAAAGCATAATTAAATCAGTCCTTCACCACCAGAGACCATCATTACTAATTAACACCTATATTTCCAGGTCTTTACACACACACACACACACACACACACACACACATACACACCTTTGTAGTTACATATCAATATAAAATCGTATTGTACACTCTTCCTCAACCTACTTTTTTCAGTAAGTAATCTCTTTCTCTTTCAGTACCTTTTATCTCTTCTAATACTTATACTATATTCAAAATTCCCCATTTGATCCAAAAATATCACACACAGATGGTTTGTCCATTCAAATATCAAACATAGGATCAAACTTTCATCTGGTTTTTATGTCCCTTAAGTTTCCTGTAATAGATTATAATCTCTTTTTCACAATCATGACTTTTTAAAGAACCAGGTCAGTTACCTATTGTAGAATATCCCTGGATTTTTCTGGTTTCTTTGCTATGCTACCATTTAACTTGTCAGTCTCTAACCTGCATTTCTTATAAATTGTACATTATATTAGAGGCTTAATAAACCCAATTTAAATATTTTTGCCTAGAATAATTCATAGGTCTTGGTGTGTACTTCATGTGGCTTTATATCTGGCACACAATATCTGATTAACAAACATTAATGACACTATGATTGATTGATTCCAATACTAAGTTATTTTGTTTTCCCCTTCACTGTACACATAAAATTTTCCCCTTGTGATTAAAAAATAATGTGTGAGGTTTTCTTTTAACAATTAACCAATGGCCAGTTTTCCATAAACCATTTACTTAATGATCTTGACACCGATTAATAATCCTTCCCTCAATCTATTAATGTAATTTCTGTGAAATTATTGTTCTCTAATTCTACAGTGCCTTCTATGTCTTATAATGCATTTTTCTGTAAAACAGCATGCTTCCTCAAAAATTGGGATATTTGGTTACCCTGTTGGTGAGGATGTAAGCAACAGAAGTACCATAGACACCTGGTGGGAATATTCACACTTCACTTTTGGAAAACAATTTGGCATTATCTAGCCAAGTTGAAGATACACACAATCTTTTAACCAGCATTGCCATTTTAGGTACAGCATTTCCCACTTTAGGTATTCTTCACTTAAGATCAGAAATTTATCTTTGTAAATTAGACATTTTAAAAATAAATGCTAATTGAGAGTCTATTTCTTAATATTTTAAATAAGGAAAATTATAGTGTTTTTATATCAACCTAAAACATCCACCAATTTCCTAAAACATAACTAATTCAGAGTAAAATGCATATAAAGTATTCATTAAATGACTAATATAGTTACTTCAAATAGTTTCTTTGTATGCAGAACATGCTGTATTAGTCTAGGTTCTCCAGAGAAGTAAAACTTGGATATGTAATATCCAATTGATGTAATATATCATACATGATTTATTATAAGGAATTGGCTCACGTGATTATGGAGACTGAGAAGTTCCAAGATCTTCAGTTGAACCCAGAAATCTGGTGAAGACGCAGTAAAGCCAATGGTGTAGTTCCTGTCCAAGTCCAAGTGTGAAGGCAGGAGAAGACCAATGTTCCAGCTAGAAGATAAGCAGAGAGAGCAAATTCTCCTTTATTCAGCCTTTTGTTCTATTCAGGCCTTCAATGAAATGGATGAGGCTCACCCACATTGGAAAGGGCCACCTGTTTAACTTAGTCTCTGCCTATTCAAATGTTAATCTCATCCAGAAACTCCCTCACAGATACATCCAGAATAATGTTTAACCAAATATCTGGGCAACGCCTCCAGTCAAGTTGACACATAAAATTAACCATCACATATGTGCTTCAGTGATTCTAGCTACACCTTTCAAAACATTAATACTTAACAATTCTACCTGGAATATAACCCAGACTTCCCCTCCCACACACACATTGTTTTGTTTAAAATGTAGTATTGAGTTTGTGAGACATAAATACAATTTTTTCATATAAATCAGCTAACAAGTATACTGCAAGGACACTTACATTCTAAAATTTGGATATCAAAGTCCAAGAGGTGTTTCATGAGGGAAATGTTAAAGTATGCCAGTACTACCCTAAAAATATGTAAACATATGCACTAGCATACATGTGTAAGAATATTTGTAGCAGTGTTATTTATGGTAACCAAAAACTGCAAACACCTGAATGTCCACTTACAATAGTATGAATGAGTTGTGAAATATGCATACAATGGAAGAGTATATCACTAGGAAAATGGTATGCAAAATGCTATAGTATGGATGACCTTGCAAACACAATATTGAACAAAAGAAGAAAGATAAAAATAATTCCAACAGTATGGAGTCCACTCATATTAAGTTCAAAGCAGGCTAAACCAGGCCATTGTTTAGAGATGCACATATAGGTTGTAAAAGCATAAAGGAAAAGAAAGGTATGATTATCACAAAGCCAGAAATAGTGGATACTTCCAGAGTGGAGGGATAGAATTATAATTAGGAAGGAAGCCACAAACAAGGTGGGTGTTCTTGGATGTTGCAAAATTTCTATTTTTTGACTTGGGTTATACCAGAGTTTGTTTTATAAGTATTCATTAGACAGTACAGATATATTTTATAAATTCTTCTGTAAGTACATATATTTCATAATAAGAAAAGAATAAGAGATGAATGGAAAAAGTTAGATTAGGCATTATATAGGAGGTACAATTGCAAGATGCTGCTGGCAGGCACCAACCTCTGCTTGCTGTATCTGACCAAGTGTCAACACATGTATAATTGAACTGCAGAAGATAAAAGTAAGGACAACTAAAATAAGCCAGACACAGAAGCATTTGCAAAGGAGCTTGCACTTAGAAAATGCTCAAAAACAACACATTTGTTGGATTGGAATTTGATGAATGGAAAAAGAAAACTTCCATGTATGTAAAAGGCTTAAAGAAACAGTCTAGGGTCTTCCCTGGTGGCTCACCGGTTGACAATCCGCCTGCCAATGCAGAGGACATGGGTTCGAGCCCTGGTCCGGGAAGATCCCACATGCCACGGAGCAACTAAGCCCATGTGCCACAACTACTGAGCCTGTGCCCTAGAGCCTGAGAACCACAACTACTGAGCCTGTGCTGCAACTACTGAAGAGCGCGCGCCTAGAACCCATGCTCCACAACAAGAGAAGCCACCGCAACTAAAGCCCGCACACTGCAACGAAGAGTAGCCCCCGCTCACCGCAACTAGAGAAAGCCTGCACACGGCAACAAAGACCCAATGCAGCCAAAAAAAAAAAAAAACCAACAGTCTACAAGATTTAAAAATAAAACAAGAACTAAACACCTTCATGGGGACATAATAGGCATTCATAAAATCATAAAATGTAAGAATACAGTGAACATGGCTTTGTGCAATAAATCCTGCAATTTTCAAGACATGAGGATGCCAACGAAATTCAAAAGAAATCATTTTCAATAATTAAAAGAAATTGTTTCTTACACAGAAAGCAGTAAATATACAATAAGTCATAATTATTATATGTGCTTAAACTTTAGTATTGACAGAAAAAAATACCAAATAAGCACCTAGCCAGAATATTCAGTCTCAGAAGAAAGTGTTCAATCATTTTATGACTGTTTAAAATTCAGTTAAAATAAATGTTTCTCAATGCTTTGACCAGGCTCTGGTACATGAGGCAAAAGTTCAGAAGCATTCCCCTTTGACTTCCGATTTTCCATAGAGTGCTGCCCTCTTCAGGGAGAGCTGTGTCACATCTGATTCCACTTTTCCGTGGTAATTTTTGTAAAAATTTCCACTTTCGTTTTCATGAATGGAATGTCTATCTTCCTCCTGAAACACTTCATTTGAAATTACAGTCAGTTGTAAACAAGGTAAAGATGGCTATGATATGTTTTCAGTTAAACTAAGTAAAAAATCTATTTTTGTATTTACAAAGAAAATCATAAAATGGAGAAAATATGTATTATCAATTGTATTGCATTATTCAGTATAAGGAGAAATAAAATCTGAAATATTTTAAAGTAATTTAAAAACAGGTATTCAAGGCTAGATATATGAGCAATGAAAATGGATTTTTTTTTTATATTGGGGTATAATTGATTAACAATGCTGCGTTAGTTTCAGGTGTACAGCAGAGTGATTCAGTTATACATATACATGCATCTATTCTTTTCCCATTTAGGTTATTATAGAGTATAAAGTAGATTTCACTGTGCTATAGATTAGGTCCTTGTTGGTTATCTATTTTAATTTTTTTTTTTTTTTTGCGGTACGTGGGCCTCTCACTGGTGTGGCCTCTCCCGTTGCGGAGCACAGGCTCTGGACGCGCAGGCTCAGCGACCATGGCTCACGGGCCCAGCCGCTCCGCGGCATGTGGGATCTTCCCGGACCGGGGCAAGAACCCGCGTCCCCTGCATCTGCAGGCGGACCCTCAACCACTGCGCCACCAGGGAAGCCCAGTTATCTATTTTAAATATAGCAGTGTGTATATGTCAATCCCAAACTCCCAATCTATCCCTCCTTCCCACCCTTCCCCCTGGTAACCATAAATTCAATCTCTAAGTCTGTGTGTCTGTTTCTGTTTTGTAAATAAGTTCATTTGTATCATTTTTTTTAGATTCTGCATATACGTGATATCATATGATATTTGTCTTTGTCTGACTTACTTCACTTACTATGATAATCTCCAGGTACATCCATGTTGCTGCAAATGGCATTATTTCATTCTTCTTAATGGCTGAGTAATATTCCATTGTATATATGTACCACATCTTCTTTATCCATTCATCTGTTGATGGACATTTAGGTTGCTTCCATGTCTTGGCTATTGTAAGCAGTGCTGCAATGAACACTGGGGTGCATGTATCCTTTTGAACCACATTTTTCTCTGGATATATATATGCCCAGGAGTGGGATTGCTGGATCATATGGTAACTCTATTTTTAGTTTCTTAAGGAACCTCCATACTGTTCTCCATAGTGGCTATACCAGTTTACATTCCCACCAACAGTGGGAAAACACCCTTTTCTCCATACTCTCTCCAGCATTTATTGTTTGTAGACTTTTTGATAATGGCCATTCTGACTGGTGTGAGGTGATCTCTCATGAGCCATGAAAATGGATTTTTAAGATTACATCTTCTTAAATATTTGGCTTAGGGACTTCCCTGGTGGTCCAGTGGGTAAGACTCCACACTCCCAGTGCAGGGGGCCCAGGTTCAATCCCTGGTCGGGGAACTAGATCCCACATGCATGCCAAAACTAAGAGTCCACATGCCGCAGCTAAGAAGTCTGCATGCCGCAGCCAAGACATCCACATACCGCAAGTAAGATCCCACGTGCTGCAACTAAGACCTGGAGCAACCAAAATAAATAATTAAATAAACAAATATTTTAAAAAAATATTTGGCTTAAATTGCTATTCTATAATTAAACAGCCATCATAAGAAAGAGGTTTCTTATTTCAATGATGCTGCCATCACTCAAGACCAGTTTTGAACTGTTTACATAAAATTGCCTTCAAAATTGTTTAAAAGAGGGCTTCCCTGGTGGCTCAGTGGTTGAGAGTCCACCTGCCGATGCAGGGGACACGGGTTCGTGCCCTGGTCCGGGAAGATCCCACATGCCGCGGAGCGGCTGGGCCCGTGAGCCATGGCCGCTGAGCCTGCGCATCCGGAGCCTGTGCTCCGCAACAGGAGAGACCACAACAGTGAGAGGCCCGCGTACCGCAAAAAAAAAAAAAATTGTTTAAAAGAAACAAGAAAATCAGACTAATTATTTTATAAATTTCTTTTGGCTAATAACATTACCAAATTTCATCATCAGCATTACTTAGAAACTCAATTTTGAATGTCATTCTTATTTTAGAGCAGATACGATTTTGGGAACTAAAGATTTTCCACCACCAAAGGTATTTGAAAGAATATGATGAATGATTCTAAGAAATTTTGAAAAAGGAATTCCAAGATATATATATATTGAAAGGGAAAACAATCATTTATATGTAAACTGTCGGGTGTCAGCTTCTGCCTAGAATGTAGAAAGTTGCAAAAGAATGTCATTCCTACCCTAGCAATAATAACAATCCAGATAACCCATAAAATCATAATTTATTAAAAAGTCATCAGAGAGCTAAGGATGGAGAAAAAATATGTAATGAATTAAAATTCAGAAAGTTACATACCTCTCTTGGGAGCAAAGCAACCCAATAGTTTCTTTCATCCTTGGTGAAGCAGTAGAAAAGGAGAAAGCTGTCAGAGCAAGAAGAAAGGTAAGAAGAAAACTGGGATAACTCAAGAATTAAACTTCTGAAATTTTAACAAATGTCTGTAGACTAAGTGTGAGCTGGCATGATGGTTTAAAATCCTTAGAACACAGAGTACAGCCGCCTACAACACTTCATAGCCTTCACAGAGTAGTCATGAGAAATACTGGGGCGAGAGTAGGAATGCTTAAAAAAACTTTCAAGCACTCAGGCTTTACATTGATACAAGGCAGCAGGCACCTATCTTTGGTGAAGAGGGGCAAGAATACTGAGAGAGACCAGCTCTACCAAGGTACAGTGTGCAGGACTTCATGAACTCTGAGGGCAGGAAA